GTTATTTATTATTGACCCTTTTCGCAGCTCGCTTACCCCGGATGGCATGCTCGGCCGCTTCTTCTTTGATGTTAAAGGTGGCGGGTGGCATGGCATCCCTCGTTATCCGGGCATCAGCATTTTTGAAGACCGCACTGCTTGTTGTGAGGAACCATAGCCATATTTTATGGTATCGGGGCTTGAGGCTCGAATCAAACTTGTTGTCTGAAATATGACAGTGTAGGTCTTATGTGTTGTATATAGTCTCTCAGAGTTTCCACGGACAATGTTGGATGCCGGTTTCTTTGGGTGCTTCCAGGTCACTTCTTTATGTGACTCCCACCATTCTTTAGACCCCTTAACATTGAACGCCGTCTTGCGGGATTTAGTCACAGCTAATACAACATCCTTCGAGCAGATGTTTTCTTGCTTAGTTGACTCTTCCTGAAAATTCGGATTTCCTCAATTCAGACTTGATGTCAGCCATAGCTTTGGCATCATATCAGTCCCGAAGAGCATGGAGTGTCCTTCGGGTTCGGTGAATCTCTGGTTGAGGCCCGTATCCTACTCAAAGTCCACGCCTACGAATTTCCCATTGCAAGCCGCGGTGAAGAAGCGGGAGCTAGGACAATCGACAGCTTTGCGGACTTAGTATATGTCATTTCGGCAGGTGATGATGAGGTCTAAGTATGCGCCGGATTCTTAGAACGCGTCAATAAGATGGCCTACCATAGTTGAATTGAACTGCTCGCATATCCTAGTCAGGATACCTAGGTACACTGAAACGATATGAAGATAGCCTTCTGCCTCTTCTCGAGTGAAACCACGCTTTATCAAGTCCTTTCTCAAGGATGCCCTGACTGACTTCCAGAACGTCTCCATTGCTTTTTGTATAGCCTGTGACTTCGAAATCCACTCGGCGTTTTTGGGACCGGTTGGAGGCCTGCTTTCTAGATACCTAACGAGCTCTCTGTAACTCCATCTTTATGCCCTGCTACTGCAGGATCACTCACACTGCGGATAATCTCCACCGTCTTAAGTTACGTTGTCCTATGTCCAAGATCGAACTCATCTCCACTCTTGGCTGCCCCAGCAACGATCAATAGATCGAGTTCTTGACAACAAGCCGGTGGCAGAGGGTGAGCTTACAAGATACTGACGCTGAACCAAGGCTTGTGGAGCGGCCTGTGATCGTAGGGCGACATGCGATAAAAGAAAGGTTCCTGGGCGTCGTACCAATCCTCCAGTTCTGGTGGGGCTGTCCAAGTATCCAGTTCAAAGTCTGTGAGGAAAATACGGACAACAAAACTTAGGATATCTAATCTAAACGGCGTGAAGATTTAGTTAAGGTCTGGACATTGGTGGCGGTGACTTGGGGGCGTGGCAATCGTCACGCCTCAGACTCGCCTCAATACTCTTGGCCGGAGTGTCCTTGGTTGGAGTATCTTTGCTCGAGTGTTTTTCGGGGACATCTCTTACAATTAATCCCACCTCAATGTACTTCTATGTCATCTTGGGCTGCGGATAAGCTCATCTCCTTTGGGCGCCTTAGGGCATGGGGTGACAGCAGGTCTATAAATCCGGATTATATTGGTCATTAGAGTTCTTTTTACAGCTGGCCGGTGCCAGTCTTCTTTTCTTCGCCAAAGCGCTTCCGGGAGAGAAACATGGTGTAGACGGTGCCTTTCTTCACGAAGATGGCTGATTTGATCCCGGTTTTCTCCAGATGAGGCCAAAGTCGCTCGCCCCTGGGGCACAGATAATGACTTTCTAACAAAAGGCGAAGCCAAACAGCCCAGATCACTTCTCGTGGGTTTTGTTGGATGTCCTTTATCCGAAGCTTGGGTGGGAGGCTTTGAGTACTTATGCTGAGGCATGATGTACCTTTTAGTTATAAGCAAAGGAAGCATTCGTGGCAGGTTTCCAGTTCAGGTTGGAATGAATAGGAGAGACCCATAGTCGTCACAGAGCCCGCACTGAGGAGAGGTGAGAGCCATGTGAATCTCGTGGATCGTGACATGGCGGCTCAAGTTGCCCCAATCCCCAATGCAGTAACCAACATCATCGTCATACTCCAAGTCGTAAACCCTGCCGTAAGCTGAGATGGCCATTTCGGAGCCCTTTCTATTATCGTCGGAGAGGTCGTTGTAGACGGCTGTCTAACTGACCTTGTTGTGTTTTGCGTACTCGAAACGGGTGAGGGGTCATGAGTAGTACAACGATGCCATCTATGCATTTATTGCAGCTTTGGATCATTTCCTTCCCTCCAAGGAGTATAGCTAACTATACCAAGATAACAACCCCGACAGTTGGGATGAACATCTCAGCATGTGGCTTGACACCTTCCACACTGTTCTTTCCGCTCTTCAGTCAGTTGTTCTGTCGGAAAACACCTGTTTTCGTCAATTGAAAGGCTTGAACACAGCCATGGAGTTTTCTGATGAACGAGAGGTGGCATATTTATCGAGTTGTTCTTGATATAAGGTAGCGTAAATTCCTGTCGTGAAAAAGGCTTTATGGTGGCTCACCAGCCCTTCTATAATAGCTTGTTCTACTCCTTGTGATATGCGCGGTGACTCTCTCTTGCAGCCTTTTGGTGTCATCGGGTTCTATTCCGTTTTCGAAATGCATTGTGCCGCAGCTGTTGATTGCCACTTCGTATGCAGAGCTCCGCCCGATTTGCCTTGCGTATGTCGTCTATGATGATCATGTGCGTGGAGAGTTGCCAGACCAGCCTCCCTTTGTTACACGAGTTGATGACATGCAGGGGCTGGAGGTTAATGGCACATGAACGAGGGGGCCAGCCTAGGTAGTGGAACACTGCTGAGGCGCGCGGTCAGGCCGGTGCTGTCGGAGCATATGTGGCATAAGGCACTGTATGATATCAACACGCTAAAGTCTTGACGAGCTGGTCCTGCATCGCCAGAGCTGCTGCAGCTCGGGTCATTGTCTCCCGGATCTCTCCTGTGTGACATTCGGCTTACAGCCAGAACAACACATATATACAATGGACTTTGGAGCCCCAGGCAATAAATCATTCCTATCCTGTATGTAGCAAGTACCGAAGATAGTTGATGAAGTCGTCAACAGTCGAGGAATATGCTGTGGATACCAGCCATCTCTGACCAGTGCTCGCGCCAATATCCACCTCGGGGCGCTTCGTGCTTGCGACTACATGCATTCTGTGGAGGTCCCATTCGCATACCCCTCGTGCATTACCATCATAAACTCTTGGAGGTTGGGCAGTGCGCTCGGTAGAGGTTTCCGCTCCAGTACGTTTCCCTCCCATGGGTCATCGTCGAGATCCAGGTGCCCTGCCCACCTGTGCGTGGAGTGTTGTGCGTCAGAGTAGTCGCGGCAAGTGAGCATGAGGTGTCTCACTGGTGACCTCGATAGGGCCTCGACCCTTCCAATGCGCCTCAGTCGAGGAATTCTGTTGTTGGAGATCCTCAGTATGTCTCGCTTGTGGTCAAAGAGGATCGTTGATATCGACCTCTCGCCGAGTCGGAATGCTTCAGAGTCTTCTATCACCACCACCTCTCCTGTGTACGGGAACATGTCGATAACGGTGGCGTTGAAGCTGCGAGACACGAGTCTGATGGGGAGTCAACCTTTTGCTGTTGTCGTTGTATATTGTTGAGATAAGGGGTAGCAGACAATATGCCCAAGCCATTCAATGTCTTGTAGAGACTCTTTGGGGTATCTGTATACTTTCCAGTTGCTAGAAATACATTAAGGCTGTCAGCAAGAACCATCTGTGGAGTGATCAACCAAGGACCAGACTGTGTGCTTCAAAAGGTCGTGGATGTAGCACATCTATCCGTTCCTCGCGGCACTTATCTTAGCCTCATTAGGTCGGCAATCAGGACATGACGATTGAACTCTTACCGGTAAGTTCGTTTGAAGTGCATTTGGCGATTGCTGTTGCTGTCGTCGAACTCCGCGATCGTGTTGCGGGACTTCGCGAAGATAGTCCATAGGGTTTCTAACCTGTCCTCCAAAGCGGCATACGATAGGATAGGTCATCGCTGTCCTTTAGATCCTATACGAGGCCGTGTAGACATAATTGCCCTTTCACGCGGTATATTTCATGCCGAATAAGCAGCCATAGGCTGGCACGACGAGTCAGAAGGCCTGATTCGGGGTCTCTTGAGAATATGAAGGTTTATGTGGGAGCGAAGTTGCGAAGTGCAAACGGAACGCAAGATCGGGATTACGTCTAGAGTTATATATCGTCTTGATCTCGTCTTTTGTCTAGTATATATGGTAGGCACGAAATTTTGTTGTCAGATCATCTCGCTGGATAGTCGAAGCATGAAAGTGGTGGTATACCTGGTGTCTGTATACCTTTTTTCTACTCATCTGACCGGTCACCGCCACGTTGATTGATGAAAGTGCGTAAGTCTGGATGGCCAACCTTCATCAGTGAGACTATACTTCTTAATAACGGCGTCAATGTTACTGTGGAACTATTTGTGCACTTTTGCAGAGTGCCCTGGAGAGCGAACCCCAGTGAAGGCCAGTGTGGACGAATCATTTAACACCTGCGCAACCCGATCTTATTTCTGAGAGAGTTGTTCCAATGTTGCCATTGGACTTGGCCGTGGGCTTCGTGAAGCGATTCTTGACTTGCTTTCTCTCTTACAAGTCGAGAGCGACAGGTGAACGGACTTACTGACGCATAGCAAGGCAGAAATGCACCACGAACATATTCAAGAGCATTGACCCTAAGCCGAGCAGTGTGTATGTTGTTGGACCGGCCTGGAGGCTTCTGCGATCTCGGCGTCGCTGCCAACGTACGTAGCTGAACCACTTCTTGATGGCATATGTGGTGTCCTTAGATAATACTTTCTTCATATCTCAGCGATGCTAGAAATGGCGGTTGAGATATATGTACACGGCAACCAGTCTTTGTGGTAAAAACCCCTATATAAAGTGATTGGGAGGTATATTTGACAGAGCTGAGACACGGCCATTGAAGGGCTGAATGTTCCAGGGCCGCAAATGGTTACACACGGATGTTATATTTGTTGTGTATGTGGCTGATGAGTCATGGTTGCGATGGAATCCCAGTCCTCACTGTCGCTGGTTCTTCTGCTCGATTCCTCGCTGGCACCCTGATCGGCCACCATACCAGTTCCAGCCTCCTCCTCATCGTCGGTATCCCCACTGAATATATCGGAATCGCTGTAGCCTGAGATTATAAGGTCTAGGTCTTCGGGGAGTGCAAGACCTTTACGCGTGGCATAGTCCTGTAGGATCTCCGTGTTCATGCCGTTGACATTATGGACGGCGTTCCCAAGTAGAATCTGAGGCACGATAGCCTTGCCACTGGGCAAGACACTCCGTCACCACAGCTATATGTAATAAACTTTGGTTTTCTCAATCGTGGCTAGATTGTGCCAATTCTTGCTTCGAGTGTTCTTGCTCGATCCTGATCGTCGAGGCGAGAACACTTGAGGACTGTCCCATGTGTTTCGTTCCATGTTGCCATTCACCTGCGCAAAGCCAGGACATAAGCTTCTGTTTCGTAGAGCTTCTATTCGAGCTTGCTTATAATACGGCGAAAAGTTGCGCTGCTGGTCTGCCTAGGGTCGCCTTCCACTTCTCCATGTCTAGAGGTACATCGTGTAACAGGAGTATAAACTTCAACGCTCGTAGCGCATGCAATGGGGTGGAAGATGCGGTTGACAATCTCGATGCATCAGTGCATCCCGCTCTGCTATATTCTTATGAATGCCTTCTGTCACAGGTCGTGTAAGTCCCGGTCTTTCATCAAGTACTTCCGAAAGAGGATTATCAGCTGCATTTTCCGGGTCCTCCTCAGGATCTAGATTTACTGGTCTGCGCCTGTTGAACAGAACAGGGGCCATCACCAACGAGGGTGATGAGAACTGTCTTGTTTCTGAGCGTGTTATGGCTCCTGGATCACTTCCGGTTGACAATGACACTTTCGGAGAGGTGAGGGGGCTTCAGGTCCTCAACGGTAACAATGTTCACTGAGACTGTGGCCTTTCCTTTCTTTGGATGACGAATCTCTCCGAGAACAACATGGCAACTCCTTGGCCCTCACCTGGGAAGCCCCTTGACTGCGGTACTGAGTGGTTCAGCATACAGAGGCTGAGGGTACAAAGTCACTGCAGTGAGTGGACGTTGCTGAGGAGCCTGACGTAGCATATCCCATCTTTGTCCCGCCCGGCTACTTGCGTTACTGAGGAGGGAGTCTTGTCTAGCCCTCCTCAAATTCTTCACCATTGCCTGTATCTCCAAGAAGTAAATCGTAGAGTAGTACTTTGAAACTCGAGTACCCATGGTGAGAGATTCCTGGATGGGAATGGGGAATGAAAGTATCGCTATGGCTTCAGAGTTGATGTTGTTGTGAGAGTTTACTGTGAGGAAAGCCAGGAAGAGTAAACAAGAGCTGTAGCGTTGAGGTTTATGATTGGGGATGGCATTCAGCATCTTTCCAAAATTGGTGGACAGCGGAACGAGTGAAGGGGGTAAGGCATCTTGCTCGTTTTGGAGCTGATTCAACTATGTCTGGCTGGTTGTTGGAATGTATATATACAGCATGAGTCTCGAAATGAGATCTCAACCATATTATATGGTTAACACTCCAGTCTCCCGTTGTTGTCAAAATCTATTCTCGGTTTGACAACTCCAGACTGAGGCTCCAATGTTAGTGTAGGTGCTCAGGAAGGCAAGGGATGGGACAACGTACTGATAGCGATGCTACACCTGTTGCAAATGGTCATTTATATAAAGTCCGAGACATGGGTCATCTTGATAGTCGGGGTCTCAGGCCCGCGAGACCCTGTCATCTCTCGCAGCAACGCTGCTGCCATCACAGAGATAGATGCTGGTTGTAATGTCTACAGGCTTGAGAAACCAGTATGGTCTGCCCGAGAGGTTCCCAGAGGATACTGATCCGGGATTTTTATGTCGGTCTCGGGTTGCTTCATCGATGAAATGATGGTTTAGTATATATTATTGAGTTGTTGTTGACGAACAAAAAGAAGAAGGGAACGTTTGGAAAAGAAGGGGGCTTTATACTTATACCCAGACACATGCAAACTCATCCATTCTATTCACAGAATAGCATGTTTCAACGACACGTCATCCTCAAGGCATTTTTCCAAATCGATTTACCATTTTGCGTAAATAAAATGGTAGACAGGCTGACAATCGCTGAGTAAACGTCTCGTTTAGACATCTGGGACGAAGCAAAGACGAGACCAGTGACAACTTCAAGATCATCACCACAAACTTCGCGCGTAAGACACAAGTCGTCTGCTGTACTATCAAACCTATATATTTGCTCAAGCATGTTTCTTATAAGTTGGTGCTTCAGGTCAATTAATTGGCAAGCATGGACAAGCTACATTACATCACTGTCAAGGCAACACTGCATCCACAAGCGGATGGCAAACAAGAACGCTGCGCAGCAATCCTCACAGTTACAAAAACACAAATCATTTTGGGCAAGCAAGGGGATGCAATAAAACTGAGGACCTCTATCCTAGGTGATAAAAAGCTTTAGGTGAACTTATTATAATTTAGTATATATCCAGAGGATCTTAGACTAAGTACTTTCCTCACCTCAATTTAACGTCAGAAGTCTTGTTGCACCCTGGGGGCAAACTACCTCAGCTTGCTTCAAACTTGCTGTCAGATGTGAGCTCTTGGACGGGTTTCGGCAAGCAATGAATGGACAGCATCGAGGCAAACGGATATCTTTGCTCAACACCACTGTAGGTAGTCAGGAGATCACACCAAACAACAGTAAAGATCACAAAGCAAAGGGCAAGCAGCCACATACAACCGTACACCAATCACAACGAAGCAATAGTCACGCAATCCAAGCATGTTAGCTCGGCCAACGCATCCATCGTCAATCTGCATGGTGACAGACAGACACTTCACATCTCGCTTACAAAACAAACCCCCCACCAAACCTGATATCATCAAAATGCCACGACAAACGTCACAATCTTTGGACAAAGGCACACAAATTGACAATCCAAAAAAGAAGCATAAAACTTCTCATGTATTGATTGGTATACGTGCCCCTCAGGGCTACCTAAGTACAAAAAATCCCAACCCAATGCAAACAGCTCCGTCATCTGTCTTCCGTGCGTCATGCAATAATTTCCACCTCCACTCAAGCGTGTGCAAGAGCAATCTTTCATAGTATTCATAAAAAGGAAACGAAAAAACAAAAAACAACCAAAGGGAATAAATCGCTGGTGGGAAGGGCATTCGTCTTCGCCCATCCATGATCTTTCTGTACTTGAACAAGAAGAAAAAGTCCGTCATGTAATGTAAATCTTTGTCTCGTCTACCGTAGATGTTGGCATCCACCGGTCTTTAAAATGCGCCAGGGTAACATGCAAAAAAAGAAAAAAAAATGAGATAAAATGTGTAATATGAGGGGGTATTAAATCCCGCGAGATCGTTATGCCATGACAAGTGAGCGCTCCTTTTTCTCCTTGTTCTTGAAGAGGGCCTTGAGCATGTTGCTGTTGTTACGGTTGACCTTGGGTCGTACAGTGACTTGCGATTCGTCGTCTCGTCGGCTGCTGCTTCGGCTGTCGATTGACCTCGTCTCGATCCTCTCGGAACGCTTGCTCCTTGATGAGCGATGGCTGCGTTCACTGTCGGCGATGCTCTCTGCGTAATCCTCACGTCGTGTACTCCTGTCGTCATCATCACGACGACTCCTGTGGCTGCGATGGCTACGGCGGCTGTCGTCTGTTCGGTGAGTCTTGTGACTTCGTGAGCTCTCGTGTGTTTTACTCGTTCTTGTGCTTCGGCGGGACTTTGTGTCGAAATCGTCTCCGCCGTAACGGCTTCTTGTCTCCCTGTCGGCCAAGGGTGTGATAAGCTCCATGTCGACTTCACTCTCATCCTCTCCACATGGCACAATGCCTCGTCTCCAGGTCTCAATTGAACTCAAGTCGTCATCAAGGATGAGGGCCTCATCCACACCTGGGCCATACTCGACTCCGTACTCGCTCTGGGTTCGCAGAGGTGCAGGACGATCCATAGGCACACCCTCATACGCTAAGGCCTCCCGCGCCGCCTTCTCCTCCTTCATTCTCTGGAAGATCTTCCATCCTCCGAAGCAGATAACAGTGACACCAGCAGCGATACTCGTGCCAATCAAAAATTGCGGGGACGATAAGAGAGAAAAGACAGCTGGCGATCCACTCTTGAGAAGACCCAGAAAAGCGGGCGATGTCTTCTTGACCATCTTTGACAACTCAGCAAGCGAGAGCGCAACGGCCGCCGCATGGTCTGGGTTCTTCTGGAGCTCGGCCATTGTCGTTGTAGCCGAATGGTGGATACATTTAGCTTCGGTTAGGAGACCCTCGACGCGGTGAACAAGACCCATGGCCTGCTTCTCATCATAGTACTGCGGGTCCAGATCGGTGCGGTCCTTCAGATCGGGGGGGACGCTTCCATAGGCGAGGTCCATGTCGATTTCCTTGCGCGGCCTCATCTGTACTAGTTCTCCGGTCGATCGGTTTCGGGGCACCATAGGGCCAGCGCCGTAGGCAGAGGGAGCCATGCTGCGCTGAGGCATGGCAAGCTCCATGGGGATCTCCTTGTATACAGTTCGGGTGGGAGCTTTGCTGGGAGCTGTGGCGGAAATCTCGGTGTGTCTCTCGAGGTTATCAAGAGTCAGCGCACGGCGACTGGCAAAGTCCTCTCGAGGGTGTCGCGAGTGGACGCTTCGCGATCGGCGACTGCGTTGTGAGCCAGCTTCGCTGCGCTGGTCACCAGCGCGAGGAGGATAATATCGGGAGCGGTCATCGTCGATGTGAAAATGTTCTACAGGGAATGCTTGAGGCTGGGCATTGACGTCGAAGGATTGAGAGCGCTGCACACCCTGCTGGGCTTTGATCTCTGCCTTCTTGTCTTTGTAGTTGCCCTGAGCTTCCTTGAAGATGGAAAAGAGCTGCTTGCCCTGTAAATTGTTAGCCAAGGTTGGAAAGCGCAAGCGCAAAGGGACGACGAACGGTCTTGATAATCTTGCCGGAGTTGTTAACAATGGTGATTGTCTGTTCGAGGGCCATGTTGGGCAGCGGTGTAGGTTTTGTAGTCCTGCTCTAAGTCGCAAACGTGCGACGAGGTGAGAGCAAGAGGTGTAGATGCGCGGGATATAGATATGTCGAAGGGAGGAGGCCAGCTCTCTCTATTTGTCTGTGGGAATATCTATCTCTGGTTCGTGATGAGACAGACAGACGAGGCAGGACAATATAAGGAGCTGATGCTTGCCAATGCGACAGACTCAGACTCAGACCGCAACGAAGTTGACGAGGTAGATACAAGGACAAGGGCAAGCACGAACAACGCCCAGCCCGTTCTTGAAGGATACGATCCGATCAAGGACTAGGATCCCCTTTACAAGAAATAGGGAGCGCGATGGAATAAAATGATTCACGCTTTCCCGGTTCCCGCGGTGGGAATGGAATGGATGGATGAGCTGAGGTTGATCCGCAGTGGGGGTGAGTTTGAGAGATCAAAAAAGTGGGCGGGGAGACACAAGGATGAGAAATGGGTAATCCGAGAAAAATATGAGGTCGGTCAGCTTCCTTGCTTTGTACCGACCGGTATAACCACTGAAAGAGGTAGCCCAGAGCGTTGCGGTACAGCGGCCTCCGGGGGTTCAATTGCAGGGGACTAGCTCGCTGTGGCTCAAGAGACCGGAGCACGTAAGTACATAAGTTTCTCTAGGCGGTGGCGCCGGGGAACAGAGAGTTCGGTCCACTTGATGGAAATGGACGAGGAAAAAAAAGGGTCTTTGTCTAGGAGGCAGCTGGAGCTGGAGGGGAAAACAGGTGAAAGTGGAAAAGCTAAGCTTGTTGGAGGCGGTGGATTTGTCGGTGAGGAAAACCCGGGAGTAGAGGGGCAGGGTAATCCCAGATTTGAACAAGAAAGAGTAATAACTAAGGTGAGTGAGGTAGAGAGGATAAAGAAAAAAAGAGGAAGAGGATGGGGAAAGGGGTTGATAAGTGGTTATACAGAATTGGTATGTACTGTAGGTAGGTGTCAAATCAAACAAATCCCCCGTGGGCAGATGGACATGCAGAAGGTGCATTCACATCAATCAGTATGGTTTGAGTTTGTCCCAAGGCGGCAGAGAGACCATGGCATGGATTGCAAGGGATGGATGGATGGATGGATGGATGGATTGGGCTGTTAAATGACGGGTTGGTTAACTGGACTGGACTATCGAGACTGACTGGCTGATGGTGATTCTCAGGCACAGTAGCTGTAAGCGAATAGGCCCAGAGTGTGACAAGCTGCACGATGATGAGGTCGTGTTACAGTTGGATCCCGCATCGCATTGCAGATGGAGATTTGGACGATGTGATCAAGATATTTGACTCAATCAACCGTCCATCTCTGAACACTACGGTATGACGAGCGTTGTATCTGTCCAGAGTCTCTTGCTCGGTAAATCTCGTGTCACTCACTGTCCTGTATCGTGTGTACGTAGACTCAAACCTGAATCTCCAACACGGATACCGAAATCACAGTCCCTCGCAAGTTGACGCCCATATCGTCTCACCTCCATCACCTGGAGTCTCTGCCGATTGGTCCCAAGAGCCCACCTCCTTCGTCAGGCGCCTGTGCATAGCATCCCAACAGGGCGCATCCCTGTTTTTTTCGTTCCTCTCTCTCTCGAGGCCCGCTAAGGCTCGCAGCGCGCGCCAATTCGCATCACACATGTGGTTTGTCTGGCACCCTATCAAATACTGACAGGGCGTGCCCGCCCACCTACGTAGGTGGTATCGAAACTCTCGATACCGACAATTGGGGAGGAACTAGAAGCAGGAGAACCTGGGAGAAGGAAAGGAAGAAAAGAAGATGGCTGGTCCGGCATGCGGGGATGCGTTTCCGTACGAGACGAGATGTGAAGGCTGTCGATCTTGTGCTGCCGGGCCTGTCAGGATGTTCCCTCTTTGTGTTGGTCACGGGGATGAAAGAGAGCGTACGGAGTGGCATGAATCTGGAAGTTGAGGTCAAGCCCAATCGATGGCTGAGCCACACTTGGCCAACGACTGCTGTGGCTGACTTTAGTCTCCTCTCTCCTCTTGTCTTTCAGCTGGCCTTGTCACACTTCTTCCCCCACGGAGAGTCTCGACTCGCAAGTCAGATGCTTACAGATGAGCACTATCATCAGAGATGTTTTTTTATCAAGGCCACATAAGCCTGTGGCAAAGTAAACTCTCACCCATCGTACTCAGCTTCGAATAATCACTCACTGCCACAATTTCTCGTCTCTGCCCAAAGAAACACATGGGTCGATAACAACACAACAAACTAACCCAAGAAGAGACATTTGCTCGGATTGAAGCAGACGATGCCATGTGGCAGTCTCCCCAGGCTAGACTAGTCCCCTACGGAGAAAAAGGAAAAACAATCATTAGTCTACCTAGCCCTCCCGTGGCAGATCCTGCTCCTCCGAATGGTATGGGACTGATCGGCGGGCTTGGCTCACCCTAGACCTGTCTTGAGTGAAATAAACAGGAAAAGCTGCGTTGAAGGCCTCAAGACGGGATATGTATCTGACCTTTGCTCCACTTGATGTCTCGTGTCGTGGTTCACTACGACTCTGTCTTATTTCAATAGCTCGTCCTGTTTGTGGTGGCTTTGTTTTAATGTTTCTTGAGCTGTCATTCATCGTCAACGTCAGTCAGGCTCTGGTCCGATTGTCGGGGTCCCCAAGATTTCACCCCGCAACTTGATCCTGTGTCTTGGCAAATACGTAGGTAGCGCTCAAAGGGTCATGAAGAATTCCGATATGAGCCGAGTTATGGGAAAGTTACAGTTCTCAGTAATAGAATTGACTTGCAATAGCCGGAGATGCTGCGTTCAACGTTCAACACAGCAGAGAGTTGTATATACCCTATAACTTGATACCGTTAAAGCTGCGCAATCCCTGCCTCATCGACTCAATCACCCCATCGAACTACCTGAATCGAGCCCCGGATCCTTCTTAGCTCAGATCACGGACAATCATGTCATTTCAATCCAGTCTCTATAGCCCCCAATCCGATCCAATTCCTCCATGTCAACAATAGACATGACATCTAATATCTTAATCATCAACCATTGGAAAAAAGCAAGTAACAGGCAATTCCATTCCCCGCGTCAATCAATTCCGGATATCCGTAGTGTCTCCACCAAATTATCCCGCACCATCGGCATTCGTAACGCAACCTCACATCATCAATCACATCAGTAGAACAAACCATGTCCTCAATATCCTCCCTCTGTTCCGCGCTGCAGACCTCCACGACACACGTCGTAGACGGTCTGCGCAACTTCGTCACGTATTATCCGCAGGCGAGGCTGGACCTCGCTAGCTTGTCCCGGGAGCTCGCGGAGCTGCAGATGGTAGCGAGGCTGCTGCATCACAACGCCCAGGCTCTGGAGTCCGGAAGCGCGCCGCTGCCGGGAAGGTTGGACGAGGCGATCAAGGGGGTTGTTAGTGAGGCTGGGGAGTTGTTGGAGGAGGCGGATGACGCGTTGGATACGGGAAGGACGGCAGAGGAGAGGACGCCCTCTTGGTTGGAACACACTGCCGAGAGGTTGTCGCCCTTTGCAAAGTTGCTTGAGGGTTTGAGAAGTGCGATGAGTCTTGGGCTTGACTGTGTATTATTGCAAGTTCCCCTCATCTTATTCCACGTGATATTTACTAACATTCTCATAGAGCCATCAATTCTCAGCCTCATGATGGTGAGAGAGAACTTCCCGGCTACAGCAGCTCTCAGATTCTTCAAGAGGCATCAACTATCCGCTCACGCTTCCTCCAAGAATCGGACAGCGAAGACCCTCGCGTTGAGAGCCAGCGATCCATTATTACAGAATTCATCGAAGCCACTCAAGACTTCATCTCTGAAAGCTCATCTGCTGCTCCACCACCAATTGATGACGCCGAGAGTCGAGATCACAGCAACAGCAGCATCGCTCATCCAGAGTACGTCTCCTCTCACAGGTATTCCTCAGTATATTAACCTCTCAGAACAATTGCGTCGTCTCCTCACTCAGAGACGAACGAGCCGCCTATTCCGGACTACAACGCCATCGGTATAACCTCTACAACGCCCCTCCGCATCTCACTCCGCCACCTCGCCAAGAAAGAACTCTCCAACCATGAAGTCGTCGAAACCGCGTATGTATCTCGCCACAACGCCCCCGCAATCGCAATCTCAACCCTCGAGTCCCCTACGCGATTCTACGACACAAAAGCCAATCAAGTTTCCTGCCTGCAGAACCAGCACGGCGTCAACATGATCTTCTCGCGCAATGGTCGTCAGTGGGCATATCTTAGCGAGGAGGATGGCAAGGGTCTCAATGCGGCGAGCCATGATGGCATCAACTTCAAGAAACCGGTTGTTTACCTTGGCGACTACATTAATGGACGGAAAATCGCAGTTTGTAAATGGCCTGGTGGAAAGCCACTGGCGTTCTCGCAGGACGGGAACTGGCTTGCGGTGGGAAGCACGAGAGGTCGGGTTGGGCTCATGGACTGCAGTGCGAATGTCAACAAGGCGAGCGTCGTGATTCCATGTCATATGGATGAGGTTACACACGCGGTGTTCACACCAGACAGCAAGCTTCTCATCACACAGTCTCGTGACGGCACGATTCGTATAACCAACGTAGAAACCCGCGCATCGATCGCCAAGCTCGAGACCGATACATGGAAGAAGCCCATATTCCTCGGGACGTCGCCCGATGGAGAAGTCATCGTTTCGTTATGGGGCGATACGGTGTTCCACTGGAATCACGGCACCGCAGCCCTCGAGTCGTACAACCTCAGCGGGCGAAGAACACGCGAGGGCTGGCCCATCGCTGTATCGGCGGACTGTCGCTTCTTGTGCTGTAGAACAGATGACGGTGTCGATGTAAGTGATATGTACTCGGGGAGAGTGCTGTATACGATTAAGTTTCAGAGCGGGTTTGTCACGGCGGCGTCGTTTAGTTGGGATGGGAAATACTTGATTCTTGGAAAGGCGGCGTCGGGGATGGGACTCAAGATGGGGACTTCGACTTTGGATGTTTGGGAATTGGTATTCTAGGCGTTTAAAATGGGCTGTAAGTTGGACATGTGTACGCTACGCAGAAAAGTTATGAACCAGAATTTGACCTTGATGTTTGTGTAAGTTACCTATTGAGGTTATGATTCATTGAGAGCATTGCCATATTTACTCAACCTCGCTCCACCTCGCCTCAAGCATCTCTATCCTCACAAGATGCCCTCCACCCATGACCTTCGCCGCAGCCTCTCTGGACTGCCTATCGTACGAATACCCCTGCATAACCCATTCATTTGCATGGCCATACCCAGCATACGAGTTACCAACAGTATAGCTATGTCCCACAGTAAGATCGTGAGTCCTTCCCAAGTTCTTATAAAACGTGCCCTGTCTGCCCAACATCTGCGCCTGCATGGCTGCTATCCTTTGCTGACTGAGGATCTGCTTACATTGCATGATTGTCTGTGTGTAAACGACATGTCTCTGCTCTGCAACAGCCAAGAGACCTTCTAGATCCCCAGTTCTGCAGGCTTCGGTGTATAGACCTCTCATGCGCGGTGAGTAGATATCGCACATACGCTCTGTTTCTGACTCTCTTACACCAGTGAGTGCAAAGCGAGGCTCGAGTGCTGTTCCCTTTGCAAAGGAAGCATAGCAATCTTCACAGATCGCCAAGACTCCCCATCCCCACCACCGCCTATTCTTGCAGAAGTTCTTCCTTGGACATTGTGGAACATGGCCCCATTGTGCAGTCCAGTCGAGAAAGAGCTTGCTGTCTCCCCAATTTCGTGCGCTGGCATATGCCTCGAGGGCCTGTACCGCTCGTAGATGGCCCAAGCTGAAGCCGCAGAGATAAAATTCGTCTGCCTTGGTGGTATTATCTTTCATGAACCATCGTGCCCCCCCAATTGGTTTGATGATGCCTTCATAACACGCCGCGCATATTCCCCAGCTGGGAGGATCGTTGATCGGTGTGTACCACGAGCTTCCTTTCGTCCCCTCCCTGTTGCAAACAGGATACTTGTCCATTTCCCACGCTGCACTCCAAAACAGACTTCTATCCTCATCATCCAGTGCCTGATGCATTGGAATGATGTGGTTCAACTGCCCAAGAACACACCTGGTCTGGAAGTTTCCTCCAGTGACCTGCTGCCATTTATCCTGATCTTCGGAAGCATAGAAGTAGTCGTGATAACACGCTGCACAGGCTTGTAGGCCACTCGGTCCATCTTTAGGCTTATACCATGTACGCTCGTTGGCGTTGATAGTGTTGATCTTGGGACATTCCGGTATTTGTGCGCGCTGGTTGAACTCTTGACAGAATTGGGCCCATTTGTTCTCTTTCGCATAGTCGATGAACTTGCGTTTGAGGAACCACATGCTTACATCGCAATAAGCACCGCCTTGGCTGGGTAAGAGCTGGTAATATTTGGCAAACGACGAAGTTATGAGACTGTCCTCGAAGCAGGCTTCGCAAACTGTCCCGTTTGGAATGTCAGCTGCTTTGTACCACGACTCTCCCTCAGTGATGTTTTGTTCTCTGCAGTCCTTGATACTAATTCTTCTCCCCATAAACTCGACAAGTTCATCAAGACTGCCAGACTCAATGGCTTCAGGGAGTAACGTATCTTTGATCCGCCTGGTGTTAAATCGACATCTGCGCTTGTGTCCATCGTCGTAGAAGACCTTTCGGAATGAGTCCCCGAGTTTGGTATCATAGATATGATCCACATAGCAACGAGCACAAATAACGAACTCCGGTACAGCAGCGTGATAGAACCAGTGCTGGGGGAAGGATGTTAGTGAGCCTGAGCATTCGAGACCTGCTTTTGCACCGCAGGCATGCAGCTGTGCTGGCTCAGGGGTTCTGACGCGAGGAGGCTTAGGCGCAGAGACATGCCTGGGTTCAGCGATAGGCTGTTGTTGAGGTGGACTTTGCATAGGTGGTGGTGGTGGTGGTGGATAAGATGGAGTGATTGCCTGTTGTGGTTGAGGACTTGCTGGATCTGGTGCGTGATATGAGTTCCGTTGATTTGTCTGCTCCTGAGCTCTAGGAGAAGGCTGTGCTTGAGGGCTTGGCGGTGGAGGAGGAAAGTAAGGTGTCTGCTGCGAAGCCTGCACAGGAGTCACGACAGCAGGCGATATATACTGACCAGACTGTGGTTGGACTGGGGTCGTAGCCTGAGGAGGAGGAGGTCCGGGTGGAGGCGGTGGTACATATTCTTGCGTAGGACCACAAGGCACCTGTGTGTAGCTCTCCGGTGAAAGATATGAGTTCTGAGCGGGCGGAGCTGCATACGATATCGGTCGTTGTGCAGGACTCACACTCCCAGCTGTGGAAACAGGCCTCCTCGGTAAAGGCGGTGCAGCATCCTCCACGTCAGTATTAATCCTCGGAGGCAACGGTGGTCTCTCCGCCTCTTGTCTCTGTCTCTGTATCTCATCATACAACCTCTGCTGTTCTCTCACTAGCTCCTCCTCCGCAAGTTGGTAGTTCCTCGCCTCCTCGGCTCTCAACTTCTCTAGCTCCTGGGCCTGTTTCTCTTGCTCAATTCTCATGTTGGCGAGATCTTCTGTAGCTTTCTTCATTTGAGCCTCATACTCTGCTTTGTACTGCGCTGCGAGACGCTCTGCTTCGCGCCATTGTGTTTCGAGCTGTTGGGTATGTGCTTGAGGGGGATATGGACTTTGAGGATAAGTTTGTGAAGCTGGCTGTGTTGTTGGTGGTGTGTTGTAGGGGTGTGAAGGCGCCTGAGTGGGTTGATCGCTCGGTGGGCGATATGGTGATGGTGGAGGGTGATATTGTTGCTGTTGAGGTTGGTACTGTGGTGTTTGAGGTTGTCCATATTGCGGTGATTGAGGCTGGTACTGAGTCTGAGGTTGTTGATACTGAGGCTGCCCAGTCTGATACTGCTGCTGCCATCCCGAAGGCGAACCCCTCTGATATTCGCTGTGCTGGTATCCTTGATTCGTTCCTTGTCCATTATTTGCCGACTCTCTCTGCCTTTGCTGCTGCTGCTGCTGCTGCTGTAACTGAACCTGTTTCTTATACTCCTCTCCCACTTTACCAACAAAATCCTTCAGCCAAGCCATTGTATCACTTCTTTGGCCTCGAATGACACAATGCCCAAGAGATGAGGGGTCGTGACTGCCTAAATACCCTCCCCACGTCAGATGTAGATGGGTCACAATAAAACCCGATCACGCCCTGCGCTGATCTGCCCAGATGAGGCAATATATATGATGGCTCCCCTAGACTCCGAAAGAAAACTTAGGACCTTTATTTTGAGTGATAGAAAGACTTAGGTAAACTTCGTATAACGAAGTTTAGACTCTATGGACCTTAGATTTAGGTATTCTAGTCCTTTTCGTTCCTTATGATGCCTCCCCAAGGCTTCCGAAGCTCCTTACTTCGCGGAGCATTGTCTCCCGATCTGATCATATCAGATGCGCGCTTTTTATCGTAACCCACAAACAAGGATCATAAGCAAGTCAGCCTAGACTGGACCCTTGCTTTCAGCTCGGTATCATCGGGACTAGGCCTTAAAGTTATCAACGGCCACCGTTCAACGAACAAGCTTATTTCCAAGCTTCACGAAACAAACGGTTTAGTCAATTATTGTCAAATCAGAAACAGCCATAACAGCAGCTTTTTCATACAATAGGGTTCTCCATGTTAAAACTGTGAAACGTGTAATGTGTCCGTGTACGCTTACGATTAGTCCATCTCCACCAATCGACGCAGAAATCCTTTGATCTTCGTTCCTCGACCTCAAACGGTCAAGATCCTTTGTAGCCTGTATCACCATCAGCGGAACACGACCGCGCCGCGGAATCTACGAGCCAACATTCACAAACCTCACGGACCGAGACTCGATAAAGTGCACCAAATTCATTGACTCCTATAACCGCATGCTGACCCCCTAAGCATGGCTTTTGTTCATATATCTTTCAGCTCATCGCGAGACAAAAGGTTGAACCTCTGTCTGCCCTGAGCCTCCATGACATGTATCAAACTTCTGAATAAAAAACAATAGGTATATGCATGCATCCATCCCAATAGCAACAAACGCCCGCCCGCCCGTTTCATGCTGGTACTTCGTAACTATGTGTGTTGTTTATGCGTAAATGTACGATACCTCAACGCCGTTGTTTCATCGGTTGCCCATCTGTAGAACGACCCATTGCGAATAAAAAACATATTGCCTATATGCGTAGTCCGTCATCCATTCATCCGTAATGTGATGTTTCAAGCTTCTTCCTCAATCATTGCCCGAACCTCAGGCTCGTTGAGAAGGATACGCTTGCCGAGTTCCTCTGGTGGCTTGCCGTCTCGGACAGCTCCAAAGTCAAGAATCTGCATCATGTTAGCACTTGTTACTCGTTATCTGCGCTGTAACATACCTCGACGTAGGTGAGCGAGTCGCGCTGGACAGCAGCCACGCATCGGCGTTCGTCAAATTTGACTTGCCAAACACCACTGAGATCGCTCAACAAGTCCTGAACGCATTCGCCAGTTCGGACATCCCACATCTTGACCGTCTTCTCACTGCCACTAATGACTTTCCGGCCATCGTGCTGGAAACAGGTAATAGCCCCAGTATGCGCCATGAGAGTATTGCGGCATTTGCCATTTTCTGGATCCCAGATACGAAGAGTCGAGTCGGCCGCCGCCGACACCAGTCGCTCATCGCGAAGGTCTAACAAACCGACGAGCAAACTGTGTCCCTCGAGAGTGTACAGACATGCGCCAGTTGCAAGATCCCAGATCTTGACTAGCGAATCCATCGAGCCCGAGATACAACGATTGCGTTCATGGTCGAGGACGACAGAGTAAACCTTTTGAGAGTGACCATGGAGCACATGGAGAGCCTCACCGGTGCTGATACGCCAAACCCGAACAGTGCTGTCATAAGATCCACTGACGAGGGTGTCACCATGAGCGGAAATGGCGCGAACAGAATGAGTGTGTCCGGCCAACACTCGAATGAAGTAAGGGCAGTCGGATTCATGAGCTGGGGGGCCAGTCTGGATATACCGGCGGGACCCAACCTCAGGAAGTCGCCAGACCCTGAGCTGGCTGTCCCTGGAGCCAGTGATGATGAGCGGCTTCTCGGGCTGCATGATGGCCTGTCCGCTGGAATCCCTCCCTGTCTCGGTGGGCATCAGGATTTGCAGGCAACGGACAGTACTAGTGTGTCCGTAGAATACCTGCTGGCAAAGGCCACGTTCGATATCCCAGACGCGAACAGATCTGTCAGTAGAGCCAGACACCAGCATGTTGCCTTCATACTGCAGTGCCCAGACACCACCTTCATGACCTTCAAGCTTCTTGCGGAGCTTGCCCGTCTTGGTATCGTAGATGTGGATGAGCGTATCGTCGCTACCTGTAATGATCTTGTCTTCGTCAAACTGGAGACACGTAATAACGTGACGAGGATGAGCTGCAAATGCGACGTGGCCAGGTTTGACCTCGCCGCTGGTCCAACTCTTACGGATCATGTGATGACGGCGGTAAAGCGACTTGTATAGATGAAGCTCGCGAAGGCTAGGCAGTCCAAGCTGGGGATCAGGGACAGCTGTAGCAGCAGCATTTGCGGCAGACAGTGGTCCTTCCGACTTGTGTTGACGGGCCTCGGGCTGCGACTTGTTCTCTTCACGAGCCACGGCTTCCTGTGCACTGGCACGTCGCTTAGATCGCTCGGCCGAATAAGTGTTGATCGCTCGCTTGCGCTTGGAAGCCCGAGACTTGGAGGCTGTCTCTTGTCGAAGAGTCCGGGTAAGCTCGTGCTCAGTTGAAGTCAACCGGGTTCGCATGCTCAAATCCTTTTCGTACCCACTTGCACCAACAGGATCTTGCCACCCCCAACCTTGGATAATGGCTTTCTGAAGTTCCCCAGGTGGGAGGGTGTAGCCATCTCGGTCAAACAGTTCCTTCCACCCTGTTTCATTGCGGTCAACAATGTTTCGCCAGTGCTTTGAGACTTGTGCAGCTCGACATAGATCTCGGTGATCGAGATGAGACAAAACAGAATACCCAAGTTCAAGGGGTAACTGTCGGAGAAAATCACATTTGAGTGCAGGGTTCACAGCGTTGGCCACAACGCGGAGGGTAGGACGAGGGCACCGGCGAAGGAACTGGTACATCATGAATGTCTTCATTTCGGTTTTCATGGAGTCGAATGCCTCGAGGAGTGTCTGTGTATCGACAACTTGTAGTGAATCGACACCTCGAGGGGCACCATCAGTGCGAGCAAGGGCGTAATCGTCCTGGGAATGGCCAGTACGAACGAGAGCAGTCAAGGAGTCATCTTCCATTGGTTGTGATTCATCAAGCCATCTTGAGGGATCAAGGTTCGAGCTCTGGAAACTAGGCTGAGTCTCATCCTCATCATCGGCAGTATGTAGCTGAGCGGCTGCCAAGGTAGGCGACAGTCTGGGACTAGGAAGACTAGCATCTTGGGCGGCAACGACATCGATACTGGGACGGGGATTAAAGGAACGGATAGGTTGTTGTAAAGATCCATCAGCATCAGCGAATGGTTCTGCGTCAGCATCAGTAATTGGTGGAGTAGCGACATTGCTGCTAAAGACAGTATGTGAATCACTCTCTACAGGGCTGGCGGCTTCGTATTGAGGGCTGACAGCCGAGGAAGGTGCTTCGGGTGATTGGTTTCGTTCATGGTGTGACGAGCGTCGACGAGCTGGTCTTTCAGCCGCACCAACGACTTCTGAAGTGTCGGGAGTAGCAAGGAAGCCCCCAGAAGGTCTAGATGACCTTTCTCCTTGTCGATTCGAATTGTGGGCAATAGAGCGACGAAGTTTATTCGATACTGCGTTAAGGGGAATGGAGCGACCAGGTCGTCGAGGGTTCGAAGTGGGTGCTGAAGACTCGGGGGAATCTATAGTGGTAGCTCTAGAAGCGCCGGAACGGCGAGGGTATCCTTCTGATGGAGATTGTGATCGATGCTTGGGTATCCGGACGAGGTTGGATTCTTGAGGGGACTCAGATTTGAGTTGAGTGGGCGTAGAACGAGAATTGCAGGACAGCTGTGTATATGTTAGCATGGTCTGTTCTTCATAGTACTTGCGGAGAGCAAGTAGGGAGCACAACGTGAAAACTAACCTGGTGATCTGTGGGTTCATCTTCAACTTCATCGTCAGTCTCAATAGCACCTGGCATGTTATACGAGAACCTAATCAGTTCTGGGGGAGTAGGCTTCATAGCGAGAGGATACTCTTTGGTGTCTAGGTTCTCCAGAGGTACAGGGTCACGAACGAAGACCTGAGGGAACTTTCGCGTGAGACGAGTAGTGGTCGTAACAGTCTTAGTCTCGACACACTCGCTCACCTCGAGCTGGAAGCGGCGGGAGCGGTTCTGGGTCCCCTCAGAGATGTTGACGGATACTGTTTGGGAAGGTTTGGGGTGACGAGGCTCAAGAGCCTGGCTAGTTGCAGGGGATGGTGTCATGATGCGGTCGTTGTTTGTGTGTGTTTGTGTTCATCCGTCAAATGCACAAGGCTTGGGACGAGTTCCGATGTGGCAGTCTTGATGGGATCAGTATCAAGACTGGTTGCGGAGCTCCAAGGTTCGTAGTATCAGAGACGTGTTGTTGGAACAGCTAAGCTGCGTGGGGAACAAGAAACGCGAAAGAGGAAAGACTGTGTTTGTGCCGAACATGCGGATGCTTGACCGGAACTTAAAGTTGGTTTTCTAACGGCGTTCGGTGTTTTCGAGCTTTGACTCCACTGGTATCAAACTCTCTGGCCTCGATTCGAGAGAAGACTGGTGGTGCCGGCAACTTCTGCGACAATATGGTCGTTATTGAGATATGTCGACAAGAGGACGGATATCGACAGCGGACGCGAAGGGCTTTCGATATGAGGCTAACCTCAGGCCCGAGACCGGAAAGGGGACGACACGATCGAAACACAGGAGATCGAAGATGATGGAGACGCGGAAGCCAGGGCGGCGGAACCAAGGGTCGTAAGGCTATCTGACTGAGCAAGCACGCGTGCACTTGAGGCTGGGGAGGCAAGGGGAGTGTACAAGGGAGTGTGGCGAGGAGGGTGAAGAGAAAACGAGTATAATT